GATTCAAAGTGCCTGTGAAAGAGAGGCCCTTGGAAAACAACACCTATTTTTTAACTGTATTTACTTATTTTAAAGAAATTGCAACATTATACTTTTAAAGAATTGCTCAATTAATTTAACACATTTATTATGCACACAATAAAAACTTCAACAAATATATTGATCCTGGCTTAACCAGCAACCTTTACTCTGTTGTTCATAAGCTCGGTTTCAGAAAACTTGTCAGTAGTTTAACAACTATTTTAATTTTAGTATTGTCTCTGGAGACCAATTGGTTGATACTAGAAATATTTTCAAGCAGTTTAATAAAGAATGGTTAAACTATTTTTAAAACTGTAATTGAACTTCAACTTATATTAATTATCTGATTCCAGTGGCCAGTTGGAACAGAATAATTAACACAGTTTCCATTTTGCTGCAACAGCGCAAAAGGTTTCAACAACAATCACCATTATGTCTGAGTCTTGTTCTGCTTTGTTTCGGAATGTGTTCAATACATTACGTTTTTATTCATTATTACTATACAATACATATATTAAGAATAAATGAAACAAATAATACAACATTGACCTAAAACCAGATTTTGCAACCCTGATCTCCTCAGGCAGGTCTCTGAGGGTCTCGGGGCGCAGGACGGGCATAGGGTTTATACAAGGTCACAAAGATATCTTAACATACCAGCAATACCATCTAAGAATGGATTCTTAAAGCAATATAATCTTATTTTCTTCTTACACCTAGCGCTCACCCTGAACAGTGGGCTTCTTGTTTACATTTTCCCCTGCACTCAGAGGCAGGACATAAAAACACTTTTTATTTTTCTCAGGTCATTTACTTTTGGTGAGATAACTACAGTTTAGTTCATTTTACCCTGTCTATGGACTGATTCATTATTGTTACAAAACATACACAAGACGGCGGGACAAACCAATATAGACCCCCATACAAACAATCAGACAAACAAAACATGAACTCTTAATAAACACCAGCGCGACAGCAAAGCTCTTCAGCTCAATTTAGTCCGGATTTTAGAGATCTTAGAGGGGGTCGGGAATTCTCTCCAGTGCGGCGTCTTCTCACGCCTCACCCTTGTATACAAGTGATTTATCGGTGCCTGAAAGCCGTCCAAGAACGATAACTAGCTTATCCTCCTGCGACAACCACTAGGCTATTTGTTTCTAGTGGCGCTGTGCCCCCCCGATCGGAGCCCACAGACTTTTTCCCTGCCCTTTCTCTCCAAACAACAGCTCAGTTGACTGTAGTCCGTACGACCAGCCGATATACACTTGCTATCGAGTTCACCTCAAGGTGAAACACAGTTTGCCTATGCTTGCTTGCCACTACACACCTCTGATCAATTAGCCTATAATTTTATGTATGCACTCCTGACCGCTACCTGCTCCAGAGAGCCGTAGCGCATCGGGTGATGCACGCACCTCGCGCTGGCCCGTCTAACCATGAGAAAAGCGGTCCTAAACAACGAGTGCTTTTAGACCGTCCCGTTTGAAGGACGGCGGTGCCGTGAGTTAAAGCCTATAGGCAATAAGCTGTGACTTTCTCCCTCTCAGCCTGCACTGCTCCAGCCCCACACACACACGGGGAGGTTTTACACACACACACGCAAGGCTGCAGCTGGAGCCGTGTTTTTACAGAGAGGTGATAGCAGCAAATATCTCTGGCTGCTTATTTTCAACTGCTATGTTTAGCCACTAAGACCCTCAAAATCCGGCGATTTGTTCAATACAAATCTTTTACATTGCTTTCAATTCACACAGAAGCTCCACTTCACTGATGCCCTTTCTTTAAGGTATCTCTAAACATGAGCTGTGTATGCCTGTATGGCACTTCCGTCCCGAGCAGCACACACAGAGGAAATAAGCCAGGACTGAGTCCCCAGACACTGATTCCCTGGGTTTATCATCCCCAAATGTTCATTAACCAAAAGGAAACGCAGCCGATCAGTTTCACAGGTAATTTTAGGATACCGTCAATCACAGATTCTGATAAGGCAATGTCCAAAGTAGATTTGAAAATCACACTTACCACAATCTGAAGATCTGTTGGCATCCTGCCGACAACGCCAATTTGTAATGGAAACTTCTGTGTAGCTATGCAGTGGGAGTCACCGACTCAGGAAGGAGACACGGGAAGAGCAGTAGCTTTGATGTCAAACACTGGTGGTTTATTACGAGTTAACGGCCGGAGGATTCACATCACAAGTCCAAGAGTCAGAGGTTCTGACTTCACGGTAGAGTTGCCACGTCAATTCTGGAGAGCCTCTCTCTTGCCAGCCCATCTAACTGGTTTCGCAGAGAGTAAACAACATATTTGAGGAGATAGCCTAAACAGTGTGGGAACACAGAGCTACTTGCCTCGGACACTTATGACCTCGAAGATTTTACCTTGGAGTCCACAAATACAGAGAAGGAAATGTCCCAGTGTACCCACAACACAGACCATCTGTATCCCAGTATTGACCGGTCACAGAATGGGAACAATAACATTATTGGCTAAGCCGCCTGTGTCCTTAAAGAAGGTAAACAGACATCGAGGTTTGTCCTGTATGTTACTAATTGGCGTCTTATGATAATTATTTCCACAACAGTTTTCTTTGAGGGGGTCTGCCCCCAAAAAACTGTTTTAAGTCCTGAGAAAGTCAAATAAGACGGTGTTTAAAACTACACTGCCCAGCCAAAAAAAAGTAACCACTTTGATTTAACTAGGCCAGTAGGTAAGGACTTTCCACTGGATAATAACTGCAGTATAAAAGAATGCATGACTGAAGTGATGGAGACCATGTTGAAGGCAAACAAAAAGAGGAAATAACAGGTCAAATCAAGCAAATCCCCCTCTCAGATTGCACAGCAACCAGAAGAACATAAATACTGGCTGGTGATTTGATTAATCAGCTTTGTGATGGAATAAAAAATGCACAGTGCATTTCCTTAGCTGTGGATGAGTCCACTGACACCACTGACAATGCTCAGTTGCTGGTGTTTGTGAGTTTTTATGATGAGGCAAAGGGGGAGTTTGTTGAAGATGTGTTGGGCCTGACGAACCTCAGTGGACACACAAGGGGGCAAGACATTTATAAAGCAATAATGGGAATGCTGAATGAAAGAGGGTGCAGCTGCCTTTATTCATAACTGTGCAGCTCTTACACTGCGACTCTGAGGGGTCAAGCACAGACACAATAACAATGAAAACTGCTGCATACAGATTATTTTTGTTTTTGCAACCTCGTGTTAAGAATCTTGTTGCAATTGTTTAAAAGTTTGAATGACCGTAATAAACGGACCTTTGTCTTATTGAAACATTTATTTTGGACCTTTAAGATTTGTATTTGAGTACCCCTGGCCTACAGTGTAGTTTTATTGTATAGTGCGTTGGTACAGTTACATACACACACAGCTACACTTACACATACACACCTACCCACACAGCTACACATACACATACACACACCTACACACACTCACACAAAAATATAAAAGAAAATATATATATGTTTTTGTTTTGGGTGGAATGAATACCTATAGTGATGATTCAATGTAATACAATGATTTGTATAGTCTGGTACCTGAAAAAGGTCAAATGGCACTGATGGAACCAAATGTGCCCAAAGCTTATTGCGCCTGGACTTTATTTTCATAAACCTCTCTAAAAAGGTCAAATGTCACTTGTTTCGCCTCAATCTTGATACAGGGTACTTATTATATGTTATACTTTGGATTCCTAAAGCGTTTAGGCTACTAACCCATCATTCAAGGTTGGTCTTCACTATAAGTAATGGGTTTTCTTTAGGCGGAGACAGGAATTTACATTTTGTTGCTATGTTCCATCTGAATTTACTCCGACACAGAAAGATCTATATTGATTCTGACACTTCTACATCCAACTCACAGATGTAACCTTGCTTTGATAACAACAATTATTCATATAAACCTTTTAGAAGTGAAGTTATAGTCATTTGTTCTGGGAATGTCATTTTCGAGCCTGAAACCTGAAAAACAGGCTCGGGGTTTAACAGGTTAAGAGGCATTATTTACCATATTCAGGCTTTTGGTCAGAGGTGGGTGAAGTCAGAGGTGCTAATATTAGCAGCTACTTAGCAGCAATTGCTAAGCAAAGCAGCTAAGTGTTAAGCATAGCAGCTAAGGGCTGTAGTAAATGTAGAAGTACTCAGATCTTGGACTTGAGTAAGAGTAGAAGTACTCAGATCTTGTACTTGAGTAAAAGTAGAAGTATTCAGATCTTGTACTTGAGTAAAAGTAAAAGTACTCAGATCTTGTACTTGAGTACAAGTAAAGATAGCATCAGGATTCAGGGAGTTAACAACGGCAATATTCCTGTGGTTCGTTTCACCGTGCATTTGCAGAGCATGCTGCACGCGCACCTGATTGCCCTCTCCCCTCCCCCACTCTTACTGTGCTGTGACTTCAGTAACATGACAGATGTGATGCAGTGACGCAGTGACGCGTCTTAAAACCCGGAAGTAAGCTGCTGGTTCCCTCTCAACGTGATTTCTCCTCCATAGAATTTTGGAAAATAGCTCTAAATAAGGTTTGTGGAAAACGAACCTTTTAGATAAATGCACGTTTTCAGCCGGATAATATCCAGGGGGATGAGAGGAGTGCATGCAGACACGTGATGTAAAGTCTTGTTTTTACGTAAATTGAAGAACTGAAGTAAAGATCGTCTTGTTTTTTAAACGTAAGCATGCCTGGAAATCCTTTTTGTGTCCACGTGTGCAACAAATATCGGAGGCACTGCTGAGGTATTAATGTTTCGCCGTGTCTACAATCGGTACAACAACAAGCAGAACCACGTACTTTACAAGGTGGCTGCATTAGCCGTCTCACAGAGTCTGTTGACAAATCAAATGCTGTGTTGCTGGCTTTCGTCCAATCAGATGCTGGGTTTTTGCTAAAGGTGGATCTGCGTCACTGATGTTCGTCCAATCAGAGTCTGTAATGCTGCCGCCTCAATCTGTGTTTAAACCAGGTTTAAACACACGTTTTTAACACGTTTTTTTAGCATACAAGTAGCCTAGTTAGATAGCATCAGTATTCACGGAGTTAACTAAGGGAGAAACGAAAATATTGTGGTGCCTCATTTTACCGTGAGTGAAAACGGTAAGTTTATATTTGGTCGGTGAGGCTGTGACGTTAGGCTGCGGTGGGCAGGAGAGGTTTTATTTCCGGCAACTCCTGTGAATGAAAGGATTTGTCTCGCCTCGAAGACGAAACTTAATTTTGCATGACATTATCTGTATATTCTACGTGTTATTCAGTGTTAAATACGGCGTGGTTTTTAATCACTTTTATTCGGTGAAAGTGACCTGACGGTGAAGTAAGCTAAGCTTGTGTTATTGGTTCGGGCATCTTCGTGAGGGAGGGGGAGGGGCACCGCACACCCGTGAAAGTGAGTTGAGGGAAGAACTCGTTCTGGCATCGGAGGGAGAAGGGGGAGGGGATTTAAGGCTTCAACTGTGCATTATGTGAGCATCTGCTCTAGTTGGTCTCAGAGCCTCATAAATATAATGTGTATATATATATATATATATTTGTATATATATATGTTTTTAAAAAGAAAAAAATATATATATATATAAATGCATGTTTAAAACTTGCACCAATGCAATTCAAATGATGCTGCAGAAAAATAACTGCTTGAATGCCCTGTTGAGAAGCTCAAGAGGGAGTTTCTCAGGACATCATGCAGTACAAGCGAAAACTTTTAGTGCACCTATGGCTGTCATGTGGCACTTCTCTCTGTACAAGTGGTGTAAATAAATGGATATTTTACCTTTTTAGCCAGAGAACGTTAGCTAGCTATTACTTTTCTTAATAAATTAAGTTGGAATATTATTGGCTTCAATAAGTTATGTGACAATGGTTAGTATTAAACCTCAGAATAAATGAACTTACTGACACTGCTGTGAGCCTGAAAACATTGAAATATCCTGAACAGGATCAGGGTGTGATTTAATAATAAAGAGTGTTCTTCTGTCTAACAGGTGAGATGGCTGACCATTAAACAAAAAAAACAAACAATGCAGAGATCAGTGAGAAAGAGACGGCTTGGTCCTCAACAGGATGCTGAACAGCACATTAAGTTGAGGACTGACAAGGCTGATCTCGAAGAGCATTTTATCGACCAGTTTAAAGGTAAAGTGCTTAAAATGTTCTATGTTTTTAAATGAACACAAGCAAATAGTGCAAATTAAATCACAATATCTTAATTCATAATCCCAACATTGCTTCCTTTGTTCATTTTAACTCCAAAAAGTTACTTCTTACTGGCAGTATTATCATTTAAATCAAAAATCTATGCAATTATTAAAAAGCAAATGTTGTTATATTTGGTAACATTTTCTAAACATTCCTTCATCGATAAATCCAATACTTCAAGGTTTTGTAATAAGCCACTTACAAAAGTATAACGCACGTTTTTAAAACAAAAGAAACACCATATGCCTGTTAGAGACATCTCCACAAAGGTCAGGCTGGGCATCATATCAATGGGCCACATGGAAGTTGAGCATGTTCATGTATAATAATACAAATAGTTACCCCAATAACTGTTATAGTCCAAAAGTTATTAGTCTGAATACATAATATATAAACATCTATAGGGACAATTGGGTTATTATTTATTATTTTGTAGTCTTCATTTTTTTTTACAACAGTTGTTGTGATTTAAACATATCCCTCTATATTTAAAGGAGACCTATCATGCTATATTTAAATGATATAGTGTATGACCATACCTATATAAGGTATATTTATACATTTTATTTTTCAAAATACCAAACGGATCATTTTTTAGCCATGCCTCGTTTCTCTCATTTTCGCTCTATTCCAAGCCTGTCTTTGAAAATTCTGAGCAGCAGCTGACCACGCCCCCCTGCAGAAGAGCGGGGCATGCGCCGGCGAGAGTCACGTTACCATGCTTGCTGTGATTACGTGTGGAATAAACATGTCATCTCAGAGCAATGCATGTGTTCAAGCATATTATGAATTTGATCCAGACTGACCCTGAAGCAGCGGAGGTTTTGGTGGAGGTGGAAACATCTCGGTTGCAGCAGGACGTTTCTGAATGGTTAGTTGACAAGCTGTTGTCCCTATTTATTTTACTCTGTTACGATGCTTGCTACTTATTCCATTCATATGTTGGCTAATTAGCAAGAATGCAATGTGTACAGTTTGTAACTTATAGTTTGTAACGCAAAAACAGCAATACATATTTATAAAGGGAGACATTCATATTTTCAGCATATATACAATGGCCTCATTGCGTTTATTAATAGTTTACAGTCCTTTTCTTCCAACATCGTGCAACAACCGTTGGAAAGTTCAATAACTTAGGGTGATAAAAAGTATAACTCCAACAACACCTCAGTTGTCAGCAATGTGTGTAGTTTCATGTGTTTTTAAAAGCTCAGTTATTGACTTCTTTCTACAGGTGTACATGTGCAAATTGCGCCACGATGCCTTCTGAACGGAGAATGTGCTGCATGGAGATACCACAGGTAACATTTTTGATAGCTTCACTAAGTTGTCTGTTTAGAGAATACATTTTTCACATGTCATTCAATATATCTTTATCACACTAGGTGTCAAGACGGATGCAGGAACTTGAGGACTCTGTAACCAGTATGGTGGAGCATCCTGGATTGGAGCCTGTGTGCCTGAATGTGTTCTCCCTGCAGAATGCATTGCATATTTACAGAGCTGAACATGGTGGACTACAGTTGAGGCAAATAGAGCAGTGAGTGGTTTGTTTGTTTTGACTGAAATTGTAAAACGAATGCTAATATTGTTCATGGAAATAAATACTGGTGTATATGGCTTTATGCAATCTTTCATTGTACATGTACTATTATATATACTATATATATGTATATACTAATACTATTATTACACAGCAATGGCATAACACACCCAAGTGTACGACAAAAAAAGTCCACACACAACCTTATGCTTTTGAAATCAGAATATTCTTTACCCATCCAAACATAAATAATCACGACACATTTGATATCAACTCTGAACTTTATTGTCAAAATGAACGGTTCTTTGAACCCATAAAAAAAAACTAAATGTACTTGTATTATATATAAATGACACTAAATATATTTTTTAATGATTTCAGGCGTCACAGGTATCTAGCCTACAGAAGCTTTGTGAGCTGGTGCTGGGGCTTCCTTGGACGCAGGATCAGAGTGGTGATTCCGGCCTGCGTTGTCCTCAGGATTCGCAGAGAGTTTCCTGATCCGCGAAATATCTATGTTGGGTTCAGACAGCAGCCAAATTGAACCGAGTAGCATACCCGGAGATGACCTCCTCCCTGTCAGGTCGCTCATATTGGGAACACAGGTCCTCTGGGATGGGTATCTTCAGAAGCTCCTGTGTGAATGGTGCAGGGTCCACAAAGACTTGGTCGAAGATGAGGTCCATCAAGTTGGCCACGTAGCCTGTGCAATGTTAAAAAAAGCACAGCAAAAAATGTGGTTTAGATTAGTATATGCATGTACAAAACTGAAAGTTATTTTTAATTTATTTATTTTATATTTGTAAATAGTTGTATAATAAATATTTTAAACACTTATGGAATGTGTGGTCAGTCTTTACTGGTTTTGCTCTGCATTCTCCCTTCCTGGCCTTTGGGAACTGCAGTTTATACAGAGGCTTTCCAGTGGATGTAGTGGCTTGTGCACGCTCAGCGTTTTCATTGTAGTGCAGGGCTGCCAGGTACAGTCTTTCATTTCCGCCATGAGTAAAAAAAAAATGTAAATAATAGCAAAGGATGTACAAATTGTCACTAATTAGTAAGTAACTATGGTTTATTTTACCTGCACAACATTCCAAGAAATGGAAACACAACATTCTTTGGAGCAAAGCGCAGGATGACGGCATGGAATGACTCCAAAGATGAAGTCTGGTGGTGTGGGCTGAGTTTGGCCACAGCTTTCAAAATCCTCTTGGTTGAGAGAATTGTCTCCAGCTTGTGAAAGGCCGGCGTTCCTAAGAATTTGAAAATCAAAGTCATGTTTGAATTGTCATGCTTTATAGATTGTGTCTGACAACATCCTGTATTCAATAGTTGTCCATTACAAATATTTATAGAGGATTAATGTAATATGGTTTATGAACAACATACCTGCAGCCATCCATTGGTATTGCGCAATGCGCAGTGGATGAAGGCACTTGGGGTCATCATGAGAGTGGATATCCTGCACGTGGTTCAGGATGGAAGTCCATTTGGCCACTCTCTCAGGCCCGGTGGTGGAGGTTGCTGCAGTCCAGTATATGTGGTTTCTTATACTCTTCACCCACCCTCGCAGTCCTTCTTTTTTGCAGCCTTCTCCAGTTGCTTAGAAATCCCTAATAAATACATTTAACATGTAGTTAATATACATACAAGTTTACTCAAAATATTATTATACTAATGTGATTGTAGGAAGCCGGGTTTGTGTCTAAATAAAATAATGATTGTATTTACAATCGATTTATTTACATGGAAATTAATATAAAGAAAAATACCTTTTTCTATGTGCCACACATCAAAGAATTGGGTGATGCTGCTTTCCCTTAGGAATTTCTGAATTTGCAGATGTCTGTCCGTGACAATACAGTCCAGAGTCACACCACATTCCTTTAACAACTCCAGACTCCTTTTCAGGCCCTCTAACTCCATGTGGTAGCTTCCACCAACCTCATTGCTCTGTTATGACACATACAAATAACCATTGATACACACATTTTAAATATAACGTGCAAACAGTGTTAAAGAAAAAAACATTGATATTTCATTTCACCCCACTTACCTGAACCAACTGGAGGTCAACGACTTTGTTGTTCTTCAGGTCCATCATAGTGTAGCTTCCGAACTTTGCAGAGTGGCCTGTGAAAATATGTTTTACAGTAATTACTTTTCTCTGCGGATGGTGAATTTGTATTTTTGCTTGTAGTGTTTAGCATATGTTTTTCAGGAACCATTAATTGAACAAATCACACATAGTGAAACCCCTTTCTGAAATGTAAAATGTGAATTATATAAAAAATACATACCTGGGGAGTCAGCCCTCATATCACCACCAACTATCACTTTCTCCTCTGCATGGAGCTTCTGTAGCATGCCTTCCTGTGATTTTTGCCAGTAAGAAACAATCGCTGGCTCAATGAACATCCTGGCATGCCTTCAGAAGGTGTTGTATTTGCATAGCTGCATATTCATTGCTTTGAAGACCTAATGGTTGAAAGAAAACCGCAAGAATACATTTTAATCTCAAAGATCACCTGTAGATGTGTCAATGAGGAGAACCTGGAAAGTGCAAATGAGCTGCCCTTTTTTTAAACAGGGAAAGAGCTGAACATGTCATTGGGGTGCTTACTCTACAGTGCCCCTTTCACATCTCTTCTCTTTCTCCACACCACCCTCCCAAAAGATCTTTACATATTAGCATGGGTCGTTACCTAACAGTGCCCTATTCCCACCTTTTCTCACTCTTGTTATTGTTACCTTGTCCTATCTTATTCAACAATGCATTTGCATTTTCAAACATTGGCAAAACAATCTTCTGCAGTTAATTTACCTTTGAAAGTTTGTAGAAAGATGCTCCGTTGACATATGTTGCAACTGATAGCTGCAGGTTTCCAACTGGAGTACTCCCAAGAACAGGCTGGCTATTCCAGTTTCTTGTAAACTGACAATGGGGGCACAGCTGCTGCACTGATATGAATGTACCGATCCTTCTGGTTTGTACATCACACACACGCTTGCACACAGGACATGATTCAAAAAGCTCCATGAGGCAGGTCTCATACACGATGTATGTGTTGATCGTCTGGGGGGGGTTTTGTTCTTGACCACTAAAACAAAAAAATAGAAGTTAAGATCCATCACACAGATTGTTGCTTTAGAGATCTTTGGTGTTTCCCTATTATCAATGTTTGAATTATATACAGCAAAAAATACAATACATAGACAAACTCACACATAGTGATATTTCAGTAACTTACGACATGGCTGTTGTTTCTGTAGCATTTGTTATGGATTCTGCTGGATCATAAGTTGCATCCTGGCCTTCGGAAAACACCAAAGAAGAGCTTCCCTCAAATGGATCTTCGTATTCCTCTTCAAGATCCACACGGGGCCTCTTTGGTGGTCTCTTTAAGGGGGTGGATGTTAAAAAGGGCACTGGCACTTCCAACGGAAGTGTTTCGACACCAACGCTTCTGCAGGGAATTTTAGCCTGGACAGCTGTAACATAATTGTATTTGACATTAAAAACAAAACAAAAGATAAAACAAAAATATTTTACAACAATTAGAAGCACACAAATTAAAGGCTACAACATCAGAATGTCAAGATGTATCCAAAGAACATTTGAAAAACGTGCTTCTAACCTGTACTTCGATGTGAACCAAGAGTCCTCGAGGATAGCTGTGTACGAACAGTACGGTACTTGGGTGGGTCAGTCTGACATGCAGAATCTGTCATCACAGGTAATCTGCTGGTAGCATGTGGCCTGTAAAGAAGAAAACAAAATCATCTCAATTTAGTATTCAGGATGAGAAAATACTATTTGGATAAATATCGTCTGAAATCCCAAAAGATGGGGGCTAAAACTCTCTATTTAGCAAAGCTCTTTGCTTAGCCTTTTCCAATCTGAGTTAGTTTTGAACCGTAACGTGCATGCTGTGTTTCTGACTCAATACAGATGATGTGTTGGAGAGGGGCTGAGCTCAGTAGACTGACTGTAATGAGTGCTAGCCACTAATTAGCCTGTTGCTAGGTAAGGCCTCGTCAACAACAACAGACCAACGGGGCTTTAGTTCTGTTTTACTCATGGTGTGTGTCCCCCCTCACATACATACACACATTGTTGTATCCTAACACATCCCCATTTATATTCATGTGCGTAAACAAGTAAACATACAAAAGCTTTTACATATAACGCTCGAAAAAACGGCATGTCTCATTAGCGTAGCTTAGCTTACAGATCTGATCGTTCTTACAGACTACAATCACAACATCTTTTACATATAACGCTGGAAAAAACGGCACTTACCTACAGAAGGTTACGTTTGTTATTATAACTTACTCAATATGATTTTAGAAGATACAAAATACTAATAAATAGGAGAATAAATACTTGTGTTATCGGCTAGGGCGTGGCTTTACAGCCTTCACACAGATCGCCATTATGGCAGTATGTCTGAACATGTTAGCAAATGCCTGATAATTAAAATAAAAGACAAAGCAAAGACTGCGGAGCGTACAATATAAAAACATATAAACACCTAACCGATTACTATTTGGGTTTGAGGCGACATTGATACGGCGAAGCTACATGCTACATGCTACAAGCTAGAGATAGCTTTATCAGGAAAAACACCGCTAAATAAAAACTTACAGCTTCAAAATTGGATGTGTCCTCACTGGCCTGCTCCCGGATGGTTGGTATTGATCCCGGGTTTAGCATTAGCTTGGAGGCATATCCGTGTTGGACTTGAGAGAAGTTCATAAACATGTCCGTGGTAAAATGTTTGGAACACACAAACATAAATCTGCCGTGGTCTTCTGGCACATGTCCCTTGAAAATGAAGTCTAGCCACAGATTATTTTCTTTTTCCACTGATGGCATTGCATGCAGTCCCCCTTCTCGAGTCTTGCAGCCAACAACAGCACAAAGTTTAACTCGCTTAGACATCCTGGCAAGAGCAGACAAAAACACAGATGTGACTGGAGTTGATTTAGCCTGCCGATAGCCTATATGCGAATATGAGGTTTGGCAATGCACGTGGCCGTGGCTCATTCCCCTGATAGGTGGAGAGTTGACCAATAAGCGGAGCACGTCTCTTTGTGACGTAGGAAAGTGTTGAAATCTGGATCCGTTTTTTTCAGATCCGTTTCAGCCCCTTTTTTAGAGATTTGGCGAAGGAGGAAAATAGAGAGGGTTATGTTTTCTGACACTTGGTGAGTTCCCTGGAACACCGGGGACACATATTCATGTATACAAGACGTCCAAAGGTGCATTTTGCATGATAGGTCCCCTTTAAATACAACTTTTTTTTTGATAATAATTTTAATGTCATGTGTCTCAGAAGCAGGTGAATATGTAAACCTTGCATTCTAACTTCCCACATGGCTGTAGTTTATTAATAATTATTTGTATTCAAATACATGTTTAATCTGATTTCATTCTGCTCTAGCTGGGTTAAATATGGATTAACACAGGCATATTCTCTATTTTACAAACATAAGAAGGTGCTACTTGTACATTGGCATGTCACACTGTTGCTCTTAGTCTTTTGGATACTTTTGCATGGAAAACTATGTTGGAGAAGAGCAAATCTTAGTTTTGTAGTGCTGTGAATTACTTGAATTGGCTTATTGATAGAAAGGTGAAAGAAGGCTGAGGGGTTCTTGCCCTTTTCTCCAAAGTTGTCTTCAATATCATTAAAGTTAACTCTTGAGATTTGACCTCAATTCACATTGAGATCTCCCTTTTTTAACTTGCAATATAATGGCTTCAAACAAAAAATATGTTTAAGTGAATCATGTAATAAAGATTTCTTCTTACTTTAAAGGTCGAGGTGTGTTTGCTGCTAAAGTTTTCACAAAAGGAGAGTTTGTGCTTGAGTACCGGGGCAAACTTTACAACCAGGATGATGTCAACACCAAAAACTACAGTGACACAGAAGCAACGTTCCCGTTTGATCTGAAATGGGATGCGAAATGTTTGTGGTAAGTCATAATAAATGCTATTGTTTGCTGTTGTAAAAATGCACTGCTCTAGTTAGAATCTCACATAAAAATAATCAATAATAGATTCTAGGGCTGCACGATATATCGCGTTGTGACGATAATCGCGTTATGCGCATTCACATCGCAGGACGTGCAATATTAAGTAGGCAAATTAACTCAAACACGTCATGTTACAATTATTTTTGCTGCTTGCTACAAAAGGAAACCTTGCGCGGCTCTCATGTCAGGGGTATTTGAGTGAGTGACATGCAGGCTCTGCATGCACAGCAAACCACCAATCACAATCATTCTTGATCAGAGGCCTGTACTACGAAGCTGGATTTTCCCTTAGCGAGCTAACTTCAGGGGAATCTCTGGGTTTCCGGTCCTACGACGCTGGTTCTCTTCTTATTGGGCTAGATCTCCATGGTAACTTATGCTGTGCGGCTAACCTGGTCCGGAGCAGGTTAGGAGATCAACTCAGTGAAAGCACTGCCTGCTGACCAATTAGCGCTCGGTGTGCGGAGTTTAAAGCGATCAAGTCATATTATAGGAGAAAGGAAATACAGAAGAACTGCCTTTGCAGGAAAGACGGCCGGCAAAAATCACCGACTGTGTGAACGTGAAAATGAATAGAATATCACCTCCATCTTCAGAGCAATCTGACTATTATAACTAGGGATGCACGATAATTATCGGCCCGATAATTATCGGTCCGATATTAGGAATTATGACGTCATCCCGATAAACCCGATACCAGTATTAATAGCCCCGATAATATACAATATATTTTTTGGATAAAAAAAAAAAAAAAAAATACTGCGGTGTGGGTGGATTGGGATGAGGGGCGCTTGTTTTTCACTCGGCTCCTCCCGTTTTGCCAGTACTGTGGTATTAGTGGTTTAGGAAGAGGGGAGTTCTTCACAAATCCAGCGCTCCCTAACTCATGCCTGGCTGTGACGTAAATGGTGTGCGGATGTGAAGCCAGGACAGTAAACAAACATGTCGTCGGTGGTATGGGCGTTGGAGCTATGTGCAACTAAGGCATATGCTCGAACCGGAGCTGCCTGGATGCTGCAATCATGTTGCGCACTATCCGTGCTGAGTGTGCTGACTTTTCGTACAATGTCCCACTGTCTGGCTTCCTGCATAAAGTCAAGTGCTCGGCGCAGTTGTGGCGAAATGTCGCTCCTCTGTTTTCATTTAAACAGCTCCGTATATCCGTTAGCGCAGCTAGCTAGCACCAGATGCTAACAACAACAATGCACGTAAGGTCTCTCTCTCGCTCGCTCGGGCCACACATACACACACCCTCCCGGTCCTCCAGATGGCCAGTCGGTGCCTGCCGGTGAGCGTGGAAGTGTGGTCTGCCACAAGCGGGCGACAGGAGCGGGGCTGTCAGCATCAGCTTGTAGATGGTATTTTAAACACGATGCGCTCTGAAACTACGGGGCGGCCGAGAAAAAAAATACACATGCGTTAATCGCGTTAAAATAATTAGTGGCGTACATTTTTTTTTGTTATCGGTCTTGAGAAGCAGGAAGTTATCGGTATCGGTATCGGTTTCAAAAAACCAATATCGTGCATCCCTAATTATAACATTAGCGTTAAGAAAGCTTACTTAAATATCTGCCACAACATAAGTAACCGGATCAGAGTAACATTAAGTATAGTCCGCGGTACTGAGTGCAGACGTCGATGTGTCCCATTATCATTCATATCACATCATAATGTATCATATATTTCCTTATCTGAGTCAGCTGAGCCGTATCTGGCCGTGCAACACTCAGTCTCACATGCTGTATGCAGAAGTATTATTTTAAGCAACACATTAAGTTGACGAAACACTCGAGTCAAATGTAATGAAAGTCAGATCCACTCGTGTTTTAGACGGGGCAGTGATATCATAAACCTGTTAATGTACGCATTCAAACACTTTTTCTGTTACCAGCTGTATTCACCTTGCAGGTGCAGCTATGTGGCTTTGATCCTGGATAAAGTGTTTAAGTCATGGGTGTTTAAAGTTTAACGTCTTCATATTTGTCTGATATTATAGTTTTTCATTCAGGAAGTATGACGCTGCGCTGTCAGTACGCTTGTCCATGTTTGTGATTGGTGAAATGTTGCTAACCCCGCCCCTTTCATGTGAACGCGCACTCAGCCGGACAGAGAAACCCTGGCTTAACGAGTTGATAACCAGCGTCGTAGGACCGCTTAGCGAGAGCGCGTTTGTTTTGGATTAGGTAAGCCGGGTAACTCAAACATATCCAGGTTATGTTGAACCGGCTTCGTAGTTCAGGTCTCTGATCACAGCAGGATAACCGAGCTAGCTCAGCTTGTTGCTCTGATAACTTAAGATCCAGAAGTCCGTGACTAAAATCGTTCATCCGGTTAAATATTGTTAAAATAATAATAATAAAATATTGTTCTTCAATTCCTGTATTTTTTCATATCGCAGGGGAAAGAAATATCGCAATGTCAGTTTTTTCCAATATAGTAAAGCCCTAATAGAACCTGACCTTGTCTGTCTAATCTTTTTTTCTTCATGATTTTCTTTTAAATGTAACTGACAATGCTCCACACTATATCCAACCCAAGTATGCAAGTTCTACTACTAACATTCAATCTCTATTTATTTAAGTCTGGATGTATCGGTTGAAGACAAGTCACTGGGTAGGCTTGTAAACGATGACCACAAAACGCCCAACTGCAAGATGAGAACCATTGTCCTTGATGGGATGCCACATCTCTGCCTGTTTGCCCTTAGAGACATCGCCCCAGAGGAAGAAATATCCTACAATTATGGGGATGCAGACTGGCCTTGGCGCAAACAGGTACACATATAACTCAAAAGTAACACGTGATTTAACACATGTTTTTGTTTCCCTCCATATAATTATAGTACCTAATTAATTTGTTGTTCGATTAACAAGTCATTTTAGATGGTTCAGATGTGGCAAATTATACTGGTATTGGAGAATTCATTAGATTTGCTATACGTTTGGTCTGCTACCTCTATGAGCAAGTGGGGGAGTGACACTTTAATTGATGATGTATTTAATTAAATGCAGAACTTGACAGATTTCACCTGACAAAACTTGCATGCCCTTGCTTGCTTTTCAGTTAGCTAATGTTTGCAGCTCATGAATATTACATTACATTGCATTTAGCTGACGTTTTTATCCAAAGCGACTTACAATAAGTGCGTTCGACCAACAAGATACAAACTTGAAGAAAACAGAATCATATAAGTACATCAGGTTTCATAGAGCCAAACATTTCAAGTGCTACTCTACTGGCTGTAGATAAGCCAGTCCTTTATTAGTATATAAGTGCTCTGTTAGCAGTTCTTTGTTAGTAATTATATTGCTCGAGGTGGAGTCGAAAGAGATGAGTTTTCAGTCTGCGCCGGAAGGTGTGTAAGCTTTCTGCTGTCCTGATGTCAATGGGGAGCTCATTCCACCATCTTGGAGCCAGGATAGCAAACCCACGTGTTTCTGCTGATGGGAACTTGGGTCCCCCTCGCAGTGAGGGTGCAGCGAGCTGTTTGGCTGATGCAGAGCAGAGTGCACGTGCTGGGGTGTACGGTTTAACCATGTCCTGGATGTAGGAAGGGCCAGATCCATTCGCAGCATGGTACGCAAGTACCATTGTCTTGAAGTGGATTCTAGCAGTTACTGGAAGCCAGTGAAGGGAGCGGAGGAGCGGCGTGGTGTGGGAACATTTGGGAAGGTTGAAGACCAGACGAGCCGCTGCATTCTGGATGAGCTGCAGAGGTCGGATGGCACATGCAGGTAGACCAGCCAGGAGGGAGTTGCAGTAGTCTAGGCATGAGATGACGAGAGCCTGGACCAGAACCTGCGTGGCTTTCTGGGTCAGGAGGGGACGTATCCTCCTGATGTTGTAAAGCGTGTATCTGCAGCAGCGGGTTATCTCAACATAAATGTTTACTATCTTCTTAGTGCATTCTTGTTTTTTCTAAGTTGCAGTTGACGACTGAGCAGTATTATCCAGAGGCAGTTGAGGAGGAGAGCTTCCCCCAAAACATCCACAACAGACCGTTCTTCTACCGAGGTAATTCAGTAATATAGAGCTGTCTCCACAATCTCATTATGTTGTGCCTTTCACTATCAAATCAAATCAAGTTTTATTTATAATAGCACATTTAAAAGCGATTTTTGTTCGAGCCAAAGTGCTGTACATGTAATAAAAACACATTACTACAATCACAATAAAAGACAATTATTTAATACAGAAATATAAAAAACAAAGGGAAATGTAGTCCCCATACCAAGACAGGAATCGGATCTCCTTGGTGGGACTTGTTACAGAAACCTGTCACACACACTTGTTTCTAGTCTTGTCCTCATGGGGCCCTCCCGTTTAGTTTTAGCTTGAAGTGATTTCTAAATATTTGTGCAACACCTTTTAGTCTCTAAACTCAAGTTGTTGTAGGCATCATTCTACACCCTCTGAGCCTGTGCATGTTTGAAAGGGGTAATTTTAATGCAATCCATTGCAACCCCTTTATGATATGTTCAGACCACAGTAATGAATAATGCCAGGACTTTGCTTTGATCCAAATCTAGTTTCAGAAACAGTTTTTTATTTAGCTAACTGTGGCAACTCATGAATATCTCAACTTAATTTTTACTATCTTCTTAGTGCATTCTTGTTTTATCTAAGTTCCAGGTGACGAATGAGCAGTATTATCCAGAGGCAGTTGAGGAGGAGAGCTTCCCCTTAGAGTTGACTTCCCTCAAAGAGTTGTCTTCCCTCAAAACATCCACAACAGACCGTTCTTCTACCAAGGTAATTCAGTAATATAGAGCTGTCTCCACAATCTCATTATGTTGTGCCTTTCACTATGTAGTCCCCATACCAAGACAGGAACTTTTTTTCCGATCTCTTTTTCTGATACAGCTTTAATCCCGTTTCTAATTGGGTGATTTGGAACGATCTGACTGAGGAAACTGAATTGGTTTCATATTTTTAGACTAGCCTAGGTGGGACTTGTTACAGAAACCTGTCACACACACTTGTTTCCAGTCTTGTCCTCATGGGGCCCTCCCATTTGGTTTTAGCTTGAAGTGATTTCTAAATATTTGTGCAACACCTTTTAGTCTCTAAACTCAAGTTGTTGTAGGCATATGTTTATACTATTTGAGCATAAGCATGTTTCAAACGGTGATCGTTTACCTTAGCCTTGATGGGACTTGTTACAGAAACCTGTCACACACACTTGTTTCTAGTCTTGTCCTCATGGGGCCCTCCCGTTTGGTTTTAGCTTGAAGTGATTTCTAAATATTTGTGCAACACCTTTTAGTCTCTAAACTCAAGTTGTTGTAGGCATCATTCTACACCCTCTGAGCCTGTGCATGTTTGAAAGGGATACTTTTAATGCAATCCATTGCAACCCCTTTATGATATGTTCAGACCACAGTAATGAATAATGCCAGGACTTTGCTTTGATCCAAATCTAGTTTCAGAAACAGTTTTTTATTTAGCTAACTGTGGCAACTCAACATAAATGTGTACTATCTTCTTATTGCATTCTTGTTTTATCTAAGTTCCAGGTGACGAATGAGCAGTATTATCCAGAGGCAGTTGAGGAGGAGAGCTTCCCCTTAGAGTTGACTTCCCTCAAAGAGTTGTCTTCCCTCAAAACATCCACAACAGACCGTTCTTCTACCAAGGTAATTCAGTAATATAGAGCTGTCTCCACAATCAGTTTTTTTGTCTGTTAATCTACTTTTCTTCGGTAATGATTTCAAGTAATTTTAAAGATATGAAAAATATGGACAGATTTATGTATTACATTTTGAGACCCCTGTATTAGAGCATGCCGTGCAATTTGTTTTAACCGAAAGTGCTGTTACAGAAACACATTTTACAGAAGGCAACCTATTAATGTCAATATATGACTTATTTACTATTTTAAGGCATACTGTTTTGTGTTTATTTCTATATAGCTTTTTACTGTCAGAGGGTACTCTCTAGTGGATTATCCTGACACTGATGAAGAGGATGAAGATTTTATTCCAAACTGTGATGAACGCAATCCGAAGCTCAGGATAACAGAAGGTGTTCTGGTAGGCTCAGATACTTTGAATGCAAGTTCATTTTTGTTCTCTGCACTGTTTCAAAGGTCCTCCCTTTACAGTTGATTGTATTGGAATGCAAACATAAATAAATAAGTATTCAATGACAAATCTTTTTTGTTTTGCAGATGGATAGAGTTTCAGATTTTTCGAGTGATCAAGATTCGGAGTGCCCTTCGACCTCAAAGTCTGAAAGAGCTCCCCTCAGGCAGAGAAGAGCCTGTTGCCGTCCAGTAAGCCACTTTTTACTCTTCCATGTTGTCACTTAAAGGGTAGCACCAACCAAAATCAACAACAGTTTCACTTATTAGAGTGCCAGGCATGCATATTGACAATGCATTTTAGGTCGTGCTTACATTTAAGTTGTAATTATGTTCAATGTTTTCAATACTAATTCCGAAAGTGTCTTTAAAGATGTGTTACTGGTTGTTGTCTTTTAAGCTTTCATCTGAATTTGACACATCCAATCAGTTATGATAACATTTAATAGAATATTGAAATCTGTAAAATGACTTCAACTCAAAGTATTCTGAATTTCAGCCAACCCTTCCTAATATGAATTAATGATAACAAGTGTAGTCAGTTCAAGCTATAATAAACAATAATTTTGAGGGCGAGTATTAACTATGTTTTTTGTTCTCAAGATTCAAACGGATCTTGCAGGGTCAGATGTATCTACGGCAGATAGCGAAGAAGAATATGTTCCAAGTCCCAGAGAAAGAGAAAGCACAGACAGTGAGGCAGCATTGAAATACCAATTACCAAGAAGTCCAGTCAGTCATCCAGGGAAAGCAAAAACATTTCACATTGCAGAGCAGTAACTAAAGGGAACATGGAACAGTCACATACAACAAACAAAGCAAATTACTCAATGCCCCCTGATAACGAGCCGGCCGTATTTGTGAATGCAGTAATGAAGACAGAGGATGGATCAAGAAAATATAATAAAAAACACCACTGCTATTATTGTGAACTACAAGTTCAAAAAATGTCCAGACACCTGGTACGTAAACACAACGATAAAGTAGAAGTTGCAAAAGCAATGAGTTTCCCAATAAAGTCCAAGGAAAGACGACTGCAATTAGATTTCATCAGAAATAAAGGGAACTTTGCACACAACAGTCAAGTTTTGGAGGACGGAGAAGGAAAACTGATTCCGTACAAGCAACCCCGCAGAAATACCAATGGAAAAGAATGTATGCATTGTATCTATTGCTATGGTTTGTTTTCAAGGAAGGATTTGTGGCGCCATTTTCAATCCTGCAAATTCAAACCCAAAGGTAATAGGTCTAAAGGCAGATCAAGAGTCCAAGCATTATGTGCTTTTGCTGAACCAGCTCCAGATGGATTTAGTGACGCGTACTGGAAGTTCTTAAGTCATATGCATCAAGACAAGATTACGATTGCTGTGAAGGAAGACAGATTTATTCTACAGTTTGGTTACAGATTGTTCAAGAAAAATGAGAGGGTAACCAGCCAACTTCAACACATCCGACAAAAACTGAGGGAGCTGGGTCGACTGTTGCTGGCAGCTAAAGAAGTTACGACCGTGAAGAAGACAATCAAAGAACTTATTAAGCCTGACAGGTATGTCGATGTTGTAAATGCTGCAAGATGCCTCGCTGGTTTTAGTGATGACACTGGCAAATATCAATGTCCATCTCTTGCCCGCAAAGTTGGGCACAGCTTGCTTTCATTGGCCATGTTCCTCAAGTCTGAAGGGATGAAGTCCAACGATAAAGAAACTGCCAAAGATGCTGAGGAATTTGCGCAGCTATACAGAGAAAGTTGGAAATTTGACATTGCAAGCCAAGCGCTAACTCAACTTGAACAGCCCAAGTGGAACTCTCCTCAACTCCTTCCATTCACAAAAGACGTCCAACATCTTCATTCTCATTTATCTGAGAAACAGCTTGAATGCGTGAAGGACCTAAAAGAAGAGGTATCGCCGTCTAACTGGAAAGACTTGGCCAAAGTCACCCTGGCTCAAGTGATCCTCTTCAACCGCCGGAGAGAAGGAGAAGTATCCAGAATGGCTGTTTCAGCGTATTTATCCAGAGACTTATCGGAAACGCATGAGGATGTAAACTTGGCACTAACCACACTAGAGCAGAAGCTTTGCAACCATTTTGTCCGGATAACCATAGTTGGAAAGAGAGGAAGAAAAGTTCCAGTACTCCTCACCCCGCTGATGAGGGAATCACTTGACACTCTGATTCAAAAGCGAGAAGAATGTGGGGTACTCAAAGAAAACGTCTTCTTGTTTGCGTTGCCAAATTCTGTCCATCACCTCAGGGGTTCTGATTGCTTGAGGCAGTTTGTGCGTGAATGTAAAGATATCAAGAATCCAAAAGCGCTGACCTCAACGAAACTCAGGAAACACATTGCTACTCTTTCAACCGTTCTGAATCTCAAGACAACAGAACTTGACCAGTTAGCAGATTTCCTTGGGCATAACATCGAAGTCCACCGAAAGCACTACCGCCTTCCAGAAGGAACCCTCCAGCTTGCTAAAATAAGCAAGGTTCTGCTGGCATTGGAACAGGGACGAATAGGCGAATACAAAGGGATGAATCTGGATGAGATCCACATTGATGTGAACGGTATAATATCCAATATATATTTTGTTTTTTTTAAATACAATTTAAAACGGGACATCATTGTCAACCTTTAAATCATACTCTTTCAGAATAAAAATACATTTTCGTTTTTGGAGTTTGTTTTTAAAATGTAACTACAATATTTTATTCCAACTATTTGTATCCTTAGGTGAGCTGTTTATGTATTACTTTTCCAATCAGTTGATATTCATAGGTATATCACAAATGTTCAGCTTTTCAACTCATTAGTTCATTTTCTATCATTTCAGAAACTGTTGACATGGATGGCTGTTCCCAAGAGGACATGGAAGGTATGTTAAGCTATTATAACAAAACACACAACACAACAACACACACCATTTAATGCAGAACCAGTCCACTGCAGTGCATTACCTGACGGCTAGTTTAATACGGCATTTATCATTTGAAACTTGAGAATTGATTTGACATAAACAAATATGGGGTATACGTTGCCGTATTCAAAACCTGCCATCTCTGGGTTTTGCACATAGACATATTATATATACGAACCAAGTCCATGTTTTGCTGCATTCCTTGATCTCCAGTTATAACGCGGGACTCCGCCACCCGGAGCTAACGGAGCCGCAGGGGGCTAGCTCCACAGCACAGCACGACATTTTAATTGTCTGGTATTTGTAACAACATTCCCTAAAAGGCACACTCACCACGAACACGGCTAAAGGGTCAAGTACAGTAACTACAACTAGCTAACGTTGTAGCCTAGCAGAGTGGACAAGTTGCTGTTAGCTGACAGTGAGGCACATACCTGTCCATCAACGTGACTACGCCCTAATTTATGCAAGAAGTTTAAGACCTAATATAAATAAAAGGGTTGCGTTATAAAACACTTCACTCAACAATTAATAATCATTAAGGTGGAATCTAACTATATCCCGAATAATTTGTATTGCATCCAGGGGTAGAAACATGTTTTTTTTCTGCTGTAAAGTTGGGCATTTTAACATGGGGGTCTATGAATATTGCTCCTTTCTGCAGTCATCCCCTATCGGCCAATAGATTAACTGCATTTTGTGGCACTTCCTTATTGGCCTCCCGGCTCTGCCCCAGAGTTTGCCGCTTGGTTTTGCACTACTATTTTGAGGGCTAGTCCGAGTCTGAAAAAGGAGGGAGGATTATATCCTGCATAGTTGACCAGTATATCATGGAACAATGTAAGCTAAATCAAGATGAAAAAGTCATGTTTGATAAACCAAATAGTCTTGATCATGGCAATTTGATTGCTTTCACAATGACAGAAGATAATATGCATGATATTTATCCTAATTTGTCCTCTTTTACTGACAGCTACTGCATATTTTGAGTCCATATCTCTTGTCTGTAAAAACGATTTTCTGTACCTAGATGCCAGTATGCAGGAAGCTGAAGAGTCTGAAGGTGAGGCCAGCATGTCATCCCTTCAAGATAGTACAAGAAAGGTCCTGACGAAACACCAGAAGTCGGCTAAAAAAAGAGGTATATATTCATGCTAGAAAATCATTTAATGTATTCTCTGACAGTGCCTCAAGTCTAGCTCTGACACTGATCACCATGATGTTCACTTTCTAGAAATAATTACCTGAAAAGTACAAAAATGCATTTACTCATCAGAAAATAGCAAGATGATCTCAATTTAGTTTTTTTTTACCAACATTTATATTGAGTACTTCATGTTAGCACTGTAACTAAATATGCTGAATATATAGAAACCATAACCAAATGAATCAAAACTCAAACCAAATAAAGATACTACTATATTTTGATTATAAGTAAAGGACCATCTGACATTATCAATCAAGCTATACTTCTTATTAGAAAACACAAATTCTGTCATGGGGTTAACAAATAACTAGCACCAACAATGATCTTGATCCTATGACTTTTACAAAGAACTACTTCATATTTAAAGTCTCCGTGTCTCTCTTTAATATATTTCTATCAAATGTTTTCTTTATCCAGATGCCGTAATACAAGACACTGAAGAGTCTGAAGGTGAGGCCAGCATGTCATCCCTTCAAGATAGTACAAGAAAGGTCCTGACGAAACACCAGAAGTCGGCTAAAAAAAGAGGTATATATTCATGCTAGAAATGTATTTAATTTATTCTCTGACAGTGCCTCATCAAGTCTAGCTATGACACTGATCACCATGATGTTCACTTTCTAGAAAGAATTAACTGAAACCATAACCAAATGAATCAAAACTCAAACCAAATAAAGATATTACTATATTTTGATTATAAGTAAAGGACCATCTGACATTATCAATCAAGCTATACTTCTTATTAGAAAACAATAATTCTGTCATGGGGTGAACAAATAACTAGCACCAACAATGACAATGATCTTGATCCTATGACTTTTACAAAGAACTACTTCATATTTAAAGTCTCCGTGTCTCTCTTTAATATATTTCTATCAAATGTTTTCTTTATCCAGATGCCGTAATACAAGACACTGAAGAGTCTGAAGGTGAGGCCAGCATGTCATCCCTTCCAGATAGTACAAGAAAGGTCCTGACGAAACACCAGAAGTCAGCTAAAAAGAGAGGTGAGATGAAAAGTGACTACAATGAGGGTTAGATTGTTTCCCTGTTTAATAGGTTGAAAAGAGGATAACGCAGAGTGATGAATCAGCATCCGTTTAAATAAATCCCTTTTTTATAGTTTGACAAATCAAACATTTCATGAAAAATACCTTTTATTTTCTAATTCTGATAACAATACTGTAAACCAGGGGTACTCAAATACAAATCTTAAGGGTCCAAACTATTTTTTTTAATAAGACAAAGGTCCGTTTATTACGGTCATTCAAACTTTTAAACAATTGTAACAAGATTCTTAACACGAGGTTGCAAAAACAAAAATAATCTGTATGCAGCAGTTTTCATTGTTATTGTGTCTGTGCTTGACCCCTCAGAGTTGCAGTGTAAGAGCTGCACAGTTATGAATAAAGGCAGCTGCACCCTCTTTCATTCAGCATTCCCATTAGTGCTTTATAAATGTCTTGCCCCCTTGTGTGTCCACTGAGGTTCGTCAGGCCCAACACATCTTCAACAAACTCCCCCTTTGCCTCATCATAACAACTCACAAACACCAGCAACTGAGCATTGTCAGTGGTGTCAGTGGACTCACCCACAGCTAAGGAAATGCACTGTGCATTTTCTATTTCATCACAAAGCTGATTAATCAAATCACCAGCCAGTCTTTATGTTCTTCTGGTTGATGTGGAATCTGAGAGGGGGATTTGCTTGATTTGACCTGTTATTTCCTCTTTTTGTTTGCCTTCAACATGGTCTCCATCACTTCAGTCATGCATTCTTTATACCCAGTTATTATCCAGTGGAAAGTCCTTACCACTGTTGACCACAGCATATTACTAGACCGACTGGAGAACTGGGTGGGACTTTCGGAAACAGTTCTGAATTGGTTTGAATCCTACTTAAAGGACAGAAACAACTTTGTTTCTATAGGTAAATACACATCTGAGTTGACAAATATGACATGTGGGGTTCCTCAAGGCTCCATCTTGGGGCCTCTTCTCTTTAACATCTACATGCTACCACTGGCTCAGATAATGAAGAACAACAAAATAAGTTACCATAGCTATGCAGATGACACACAAATTTACGTAACAATTTCACCAGGAGACTATGCTCCAATTCAAACACTGAGTAAGTGCATTGAACAAATCAATGACTGGATGTGTCAGAACTTTCTCCAATTAAACAAAGATAAAACTGAGGTAATGGTTTTTGGAGCCAAGGCAGAACGTATAAAAGTTAGCGCTGAGCTTCAGTGTGCAATGTTCAAAACAACAGATAAAGCCAGAAATCTAGGTGTAGTCATGGACTCTGACCTGAGTTTCAACAGTCACATTAAAACTGTTACTAAATCAGCCTACTATCACCTAAAGAATATATCTAGGATTAAAAGACTAATGTCACAGCAGGATTTGGAAAAACTTGTCCATGCTTTTATCTTCAGTAGACTCGACTACTGCAATGGTGTCTTCACAGGTCTCACTAAAAAATCTATTAGGAAGCTGCAGCTGATTCAGAACGCTGCTGCTCGAGTCCTCACTAACACTAAGAAAGTGGATCACATCACTCCAGTTCTGAAGTCTTTACACTGGCTTCCTGTGTGTCAAAGAATAGATTTCAAAATACTGCTGCTGGTTTATAAAGCACTAAATGGTTTAGGCCCAAAATACATTTCTGACCTCCTGCTAAATTATGAACCATCCAGATCTCTCAGGTCTTCAGGGACTGGTCAGCTTTCTGTCCCCAGAGTCAGAACTAAACATGGAGAAGCAGCGTTCAGTTATTATGCTCCAAATATCTGGAACAAACTCCCAGAAACCTGCAGGTCCGCTGCAACTCTTACTACTTTTAAATCCAGGCTGAAGACTTTTCTTTTTGTCGCTGCTTTTAATTGAACTATTCATATCTTAGACTGCACTGTAACTTTTATCCATGTACTTTTTTCTTTTAATGTTTAATTGACAGCACTGTAACTTTTATCCATGTATTTTTTCTTTTAATGTTTATTTTATTAGCTTTTCTTTTTAATGACTGATTTTAAATGCCATTTTCTTAATCTCTTTCATTTTTTGTAAAGCACTTTGAATTGCCTTGTGTGTAAAAGTGCTATATAAATAAACTTGCCTTGCCTTGCCTTGCCTTACCTACTGGCCTAGTTAAATCAAAGTGGTTACTTTCTTTTGGCTGGGCAGTGTAGTTTTACACACCGTCTTATTTGATGTTCTCAAGACTTAAAACAGTTTTTTGGGGGCAGACCCCCTCAAAGAAAAATATATATTTACATACGTAAGGTCATCATCTTAACAGTTTTGTATGCTCATCCGTGAGCAGAGCATCAAGTTGACCTGTCTATTACAGCTGAATGCGGCGATTACCATTTTGTTCAGCAAAACGCCTCACAGACTGATTAAGATCAACAGCTTTTTGATTCAATGCTGAGTACAGCCGAACTTGACAGTCTCTTCTCTGTCAGTGTAGACCGCAAATACCTCATTCCTTCAGTACTTGGGTCCGAATGCTTCTCGTTTTGCGCCGTACCGTTCAAACGAAATCGCCGCCAATCATATTTCTACGCTCGCGCCAGGGCCGGGGGAGGGGTTACAAGACGTGCGTCTTGTGCTGCATTCACTTGCACTCGGACATTAGAGACTTTCTCTCATAAATGTCCGATGAGCCACAACTTTTCTTTCAAAACAAAGCTGCCAACTGGGGTGGCAGCTGGGGTGGAAAGGCCTATTGTTAGGGTGGCAGTTGCCACCCCGGGGTCCCCATTAGGTGAAACTAGGCTACTAGCTACAGTACAGATGCAACTAGATGAGCTGTTAACTCTCGCTCTGACATTTTTTTTTTTTAAACACACACGCATTTTTCCCACCCGCATTCCGCGAAGACCCGCCCTACTGTGCCTCTGATTCGCAGACTGTTGGTGGCGGGAAAAAATGCTGACGGGATGCTGAATGTGATTGGACCAATGCGTTGACAGACACACACAGACAGTGGAACAGTCATACATGCAGAGCGCTGTTTGTAGTGGACATGGCGGAGAATTTTGACTCGTTGCGTTGTCTCAAAGATAACACAGATAATACATATGAAAAGTATAATTTGCTCAGAGTCCAGAGACAGTTGTGGTTCGGTCCGGATCCGGACCGGAATCCGGACTTTGAGGATGCCTGCTGTAAACCATATGACATATATTCATGCTAGCAATTCATTTAATTTATTATCTGACAGTGCCTCATCAATTCTTGCTATGGATCAATGAATGTGAGACGTGTTCTGGAAGTAATATGGTCTGTGTTTACATTAGCATCGTTAACACTCAGAGCTAACCTGTACTGGAGAGAGTATGTGTAAAGAAGCAGGAAATAAACAGAAACTCACCTTGTGGTAAACCTGAGAGAGATTCATAACTGTATGATACTGACTTTTAGGCTTCTTAAACCTATAACATGTTCTTTAATGTCCACCTAGGGAAATAAATGGTTGTGAAGCGCATCTGGACATCTGAGGAAATTGCTGCTGTGGAACGACACTTGAGAAGATGGATATTTATGAATCAGGTTCCAGGAAAAGAGGCCTGTGAGGATTGCATCTCTGCTGAACGACAAGCCCTATCAAATAGGGACTGGAGAGGTGTTAAGTATTACATCAAAAATAGAATATCTGCTCTCCGAAGGAAATTGGTATGAAACCATTTGAAAATACTTTCAATGTTAGGCTGATGTTAGGCCTTTTTTTATTGTCTTTGGATATGTTCTGAAGTTGTATGTTTTGTTTAAACAATATAGAAAAACATAAGGAAATTGGTATAAAACCATTGGAAACTACTTTCAATGTTAGGCTGATGTTAGGCCTTTTTTTTGTCTTTGGATATGTTCTGAAGTTGTATGTTTTGTTTAAACAATACAGAAAAACATAAAAATTGAAAGTATTTTCCAATGGTTTTATACCAATTTCCTTATGTTTTTCTGTATTGTTTAAACAAAATGTACAACTGCAGAACATATCCGAAGACTACAAAAAAAGGCCTAACATTGAAAGTATTTGCCAATGGTTTTACACCAATGTTAGGCTGATCTTAGGCCCTTTTTTTTTTGGCTTCGGATATGTTCTGAAGTTGTACATTTTGTTTAAACAATACAGAAAAACATAAGGAAATTGGTATAAAACTATTTGAAAATACTTTCAATGTTAGGCTGATGTTAGCCCTTTTTTCTGTCTTTGGATATGTTCTGAAGTTGTACATTTACAATACAGAAAAACAAGGAAATTGGTATAAAACCATTGGAAACTACTTTCAATGTTAGGCTGATGTTAGGCCTTTTTTTTGTTTTGAGTCTTCGGATATTTTCTGAACTTGTACATTTTGTTAAAACAATACAGAAAAACATAATAATTTTGAAATAAATGTTTATTGCATTAAAAGAATGTTGAAGAGAGTTTATATTAATTATTATTATTATTAATAATTAGTGTTGGGTATGTTTCCTATCTACTACTTCTCCCATGCACAAATCCGAAACAAATAAAAAAATCTATTAATATGCAACAAATATATTCCATTTCAGAGCAGAAGAAATAGCCTTCAAGGGTCCAACTCTGCACATACATCATTCAGCAGGGCACAGTGAAGCTCAAACATTCAACTGTATGAACAAGCAATACTTTGAAATGCAAAAGTGTGTGTGGTTGTGTACGAGAGTCTCTTTAATCAATTTTTTCAATTCTAGCGTCAAATTCGTGTGACGCGTTCTCGCGGTAGCCAATCAGCGGTGAGGATCTCAGCCTGACATTGGATCAGAAAACCAAAACCTCAGCCGTTAGCTGTTAGCACTCAGAGCTCACAGCTCCTCATATCTGTTCAGAAACTGGACAAAAGTTAAACATGAACAAAACACAGACTGTCTGTGTCATGGCGAATACAGTCGCTGTTGTATCTGTGTCTGTATCATGTTGTTGTGAGTCCGGATGGAGCATATACAACGTTAGTTTAGCCTGGTCGATCCGATCTCCATTCATAAAAGACATATTTTAAAAGGTTTTTCGCCTGACGTCTTGTCTGCAGACTTGCCAAAGCATTAATTCATGGTTTTTACTAACCGGTATCAGTATGTTGTTTCTAAGGCATCATTTTGAAACGTGTATTACAATTAAATCACGGTAAGTTCATGGGTAGAAGCCCCCCCCCCCCCCCCCCCCCCCCTCTCCAGCACGTCCTGTTTGAATGACAGAAGTAAACACAGTTGACAGCCACGGTGAAATTAGAGCGATGCAAATATTTGCATCGCGTCCGGTGTGAACGCAGCATAATGCAGTTCAGATACCAGACCACTGTTCTGACGCCTTTAAAGCAACTTTCAGATGTTAATAGTGCGCGGGGCACAAAGGCCATGGTGGCTGTAGCACGTACAATTATTTTCGGGGCATCACGGCCAGACCGAGGGGCAACAACGGCCATGGCCACCGTGGTCGCCGTGAAATTCGTACCCTGGTAACAAGGAAAGTCCATCCAACTCAATAATGTGTCTATAGTAACTCTGATCCCTTCCAAGATATGTAAACTAGAAATATGTGTGTGTCTGACCCCTTCCAAGATATGAAAACTAGAAATATGTGTGTGTATAATGGACCTCATAAGTGCTGACCGCTAGAAACTAAGCCCCACTAAGTGGGTAAAAAACTAGCGTGATGACAAAAGCTTGGAATTATGTTTATTTCAAGTGATTTTTGTGATTCTAATTTTTTTTTCTATATTGCCTGATTTTTTACGGAGGTCTAGTATAGTTGGAAAGGGTGGACCCCACAATTGGGTAAAATCAGTTCGGGCCCCACAATTGAGTTGCACAAGGGTGTGTGTGTGTGTGTCCTAGCATTACTATACTTGTGGCGACCTACATCTGTTTACACAGTCACGTGTGGGGACTCGCCTCCCTTATGGGGAGAAAATGGAGGTCCCCATGGGGGCAATCATTAGGGTGAAGACTTGGTTAGGATAAGTCTCCAGGAAATGCATGTAACTCAATGTAATGTCCCCTGAAGTGATGTATACGTGTGTGTGTGTGTGTGTGTGTGTGTGTGTGTGTGTGTGTGTGTGTGTGTGTGTGTGTGTGTGTGTGTGTGTGTGTGTGTGTGTGTGTGTGTGTGTGTGTGTGTGTGTGTGTGTGTGTGTGTGTGTGTGTGGTGTGTGTGTGTGTGTGTGTGTGTGTGTGTGTGTGTGTGTGTGTGTGTGTGTGTGTGTGTGTGTGTGTGTGTGTGTGTGTAGAATGCGTCTGACTGTCCCTGAAATTTCACATTTCCATTCAGGCAGAGACTGGCACTAGGCTGGCACTTAATGAGCCGATTACTGGGAGCTGCATATGGTGTTCTGTATGGTTCTCTTGGCTGCACCATTAGGGCTGGGGGGAGATGTTGAGAGTGGGTGGGTCAGCTTGGGGGGAAAATGCACAAACATGCATCTTCTTGACACACAGAGCTTTTTTTGTGATGACACACTCTGGGACGGTACGTACAAAGACGGAGAATGCAGAAAGGGCCACAAGGTCTGTGAACTTGCTAAAATAATTGCACACCGTTATGACATTCCGATTCAGATGACATTCAAATGAGAAACATTGTTTAAAGAAGCAGTTTTTAATTAATGAGGGAATTCTTCTGGCAGCTGAGAGTGATGCATATTTTCCGGAGAGAATAAAAGAATACAAATATGTCATTAACTTCTGTTTGTCTTTTGAAACCATTTCACAGGTTGATACCTTGTGTATTGAAAATATCAAACGTAAGTATTCTACATAAATAGGTGCCTGCTTTCCTCTGCACAACACTTATTGCAAATAACTAGACTTATAAATAAGCAATCATAATAAATAATATTAACTGAAATATCGACGGTGTGGAAATTTGATTTTGACACGTAAAAAACAAAAAATGAATACCCCGATTTTAATTGCATTTTACTAGTGCATTTAAGCATCATGACACAACTGTAACAAACAATTGTAAACATTTTCACAGTACTGCCACTGCAGACCTTGGGTCCCTTGGGGAAATGTCTGATATGCTTTACCCATTCTTGATTAGATAGAAAAAATGATTAAGAATTAATGGCTTTTTTAATGTAATGTAAGTACTCATTATAATTCAAATAATCAAATGAATTAAAACCATACCAAATCCCATAAACCTTTATCTGGAATCCTCATGTGCAAAGAGAGCCATAACATCTCTCACAGGCGCCCACGAAAACTTTGAAATATCGAAACTTTAATAATAAAGTTATTCAAAATGAGAAGCCTTTTTATTAGTGCATAATTCAGGCTCATTGATTATTTATCGAAGTGGCTGGAGGCTGGCTGCAGTCTGAAAGGTTATACAGCTATATTCCTGCTACAGAAATAACCCAGAATAAAGAGGGACGGTGGAGCTTTAAATGAATCCACCATGGGTCTGAGCAGGATGGACTCTGTCTTTCTATCATGTCTCCTCATTTACAGGCGCCTGTGTTTCCTCTGCGCTGAATACAAACCTTTATAGTCTGTCTTCTCCTGCCTCTACAGCAGTATCTTTGTCCCCTCTACATTTTACTGCACTCCCTGTTCTGCTATCAATGTTGTCTTAGTCGTTTCTATGACTGATCGAACCCACAGAAATGATTTAATTACGGTGCACTGATATTACATTACATGTCACTTGTTATATGCTTCTATCCAAAGTGACTTTCATATATTCAATACTGTGGGCATTCCCCAAAGGAGTAATTTGGGTTGAAGTGTCTCTCCCCTGATCCGAAGATCAGCACACTATTCCACTGCGCCACAGCCTGGAGATAATATAACAATAAAATGACGCTAAGAACGTAAAATAAAGGGGAAAGTCTCTATTTAAAAGTAATCTTAGTATGTTGTAGAGGCTAAAAGCAAGAGATTTCCTTGAAATACATGTAACTAAAATGAATACCTTTTTTGTAGTGTTTATGTGTTTCTGCTGCACTATTTCGTAATGCTCTTAAAGCTTTTCAGTTGTTGTAAAGCACTTTGAATTTCCTTATGTCGAAAGGTGCTATATAAATAAACCTGAAGAATAACCTTTTATGCAACTAATTATTGTCTTTAAGCTCAACTTCTTGTAATGTCACCTCTAAATAAAACCACAGCTATAGAAAACCAGATGCCATATACAGTAGATGCATTCAAGTCAAGGATCACATTACTTGCTGCAGGAACCAAAAAGACACATATTTCTAACACCTTCGTCCCCAAAACCAAAAAGAGACAGCCTTCAGCTACCTCTGTCCTCGCACCATTTTGATCATGTTTGTCCCTGCAGTGTCTCTTTTCAGCAAACACTGAAATGTTGAAAGCCGATTGTACATCGAGAAATCAAATCCACTGCCTGTCCAAGGACGTGATTATTATATTGATTACTATAATTGTTTTGAAATTAGATATTTGTTTCATATTTCTCTGGTGATTTAAATGTGTGTACATATGAATGATTCATACATGTTTATAATGGATCCACACAGCTGTTATTGCCGGTCAGAGGGTTTCCCTCTCCTGTAAGTTCCCTCCAGAGGGAGTTTCTATTCCACCCAAGCACAAAATACAAATATGAACCTTAACATTTGAAACGTTTGCAAAAAATACACCATTCAAAACCCTGGCAGTTCCACATGCCTTTATTTACAGGCTGAACAGTGGTTGTATATATCGTTCTCAGTTTAATCAAATAAAAAGATTAAATATTGCAATGATTTGCAATTTATTTTTTTTCATGCTAGCTGCATGGTTCCATACGGTCTATTTGTCAGTCTGTCTATCCACCCCTTCTGTCCAGGCAAATACATCTTAGCATCTATTGAAAGTTTATTTTTACATTTGACATGTGAAAAATATTTTGTTTAATTTGGCGTGTGGCGCAGTGGGTTGTGTTCTGATCAGGGGGTCACAGGTTCAAACCCCACTGCAGTCAGCATGTCGTTGTGTCTCTGGGCAAGACACTTCACCCCAAATTGCTCCTGTGGGGATTGTCCACAGTATTGACTATGTAAGTCGCTTTGGATAAAAGCGTCTAACAAGTGACATGTAATGTAAAAATGTAATGTATGGGCCCTAGAGGAAAAAACCTACTAACTTAGTTTTTTCATCTATTGCCATCACCAGACTTTAGACTTTCACTTTGTCCACTATTTTGTTTATGTCCAAATGTATGCAGAACAAAATATATAACCACCAGCTTTACCCATATATTCCTACCGTCCTTAAATTATAAAATATGTTTAGTACCAATGATGAAGGTAAAGAAAGAGCACGGCTAAGCTTTGTTGGTACTGGGCTTTATAATTAGGACCTCATTTTAAAACTGCAAAATATGTAACTAGTTTTTAGTCAAAGGAAACCATGTTTTTCTCGAAGCAGACTCAGAAAATATTTTTCTCTTGTATTAACAACTCGATGGTTCAGCAAAGAGCAGGCTCACACTTCAAAGAGCCAACAGTAGAATCCCTCATGGAGGTAAACACCTCTGGAGCTGAGCAACCGTAGTACATTTAATGTTTGCTGCTTTAAAACACAGCAGTCACACTAAAAAGAATAGCAGGTGGCCACTGAGGGATGAAGACGTCTAATTTACCATAATACAACACATTAACATTTCATTTACACCTGCAGAAATCACAGTACTCAATACTGAAGATACAGTAAGTAACTTAAACTAAGAATCTGGTGAAATGGTCTTATAAGTGCTGTCAATTGACTTATACATTTAATCGCACAATGACAGTCTGTTATTTGTCGTGATTATTCACAAGTTTTAAATACTTATAATTCAGGGGGAAACAAATGTATTATAACATGATGAACATTTTGAAATATTGTCATGAAGCCCAACAGTTTGGCGACACTAAGCTAAGGCATCGTCAAAGCCGCTGTTACTGAGAGCCGCTGTGATGGCCTTCTGTATAATGTTCACTACACCGGGCGTATTATCTCTGCTGCAATTGTACTGCGGGCACTATCTACATTGGTGAGCTTTCCGGCTTCATCCCACTCCTGTGCAACTCAAGTAGCTTGTGAATGGTTCAAAAATAAATTCAAAATTACTTTCCTCTGTTTTCAGCACACCTAAAGCAAATGAGGGCGGATCATTTGTCATCTATCAGGTGTGCTGTTACAGTGAGTGTAATATTACATGTAGGCTGGAATTGCGGGAGGAAGTAAGGTTCAAACTTCGTAACGTGATCAATTTGACCTTTTTTTTAATGTGCCATGCTGCTCCTAGTACTAGGATGGGTTAAATGCAGAGGTCAAATTTCACTGTGTGCTGTGTGCATGCATGTGTGACCATTAAAGAGGGTTTAATTTTTTTTTGTGTTAAGGTTTCCAGATTGCGATACTAAACGTTAGGATTTTCTTTGTTCTGGACTCTGTCCCGCAGTTCCACAAAAGATAAATAAAAGGTACTGTAGCACAGGCAGTATGAGAAAAATAAAGCACTTTATGAACATTAGGCAGAAAATACAAATATGAACATGACATTTATAAATATAAGGTCTCTTTAACAAATAGGGAGAACTTCTGCTGAAAAAAAATCACACATACTACATACGTGATAAAAGACAACATATTACTTATGTACATATGCACATTTTGCATATACACTGATACAAAGACAGCAAACACATTCTCACTCCCAACTCGTCACATATTGACGATCGGTCAGTACCCCTTCACGTCACCTTATTACACACTGGGTACCCCTCGAGCGTCAGTTTTCAACGGGCAGGGCGTCCCGTAGCGACCTGGTCTCACCAAAATAAGTGAAATGAACACGACTCCTTAACACCACATTACGTGGTGGGGACACGGAATCTACTAAATCACGTGTCGGCACGTTGACACACATTCTGCAACGTCCCGCAGTGAGCTTAATGTTGTTTTCTACTCTATAAAACGTTTTTAAAATCTACTTTATTATGGAGATTATTCCCTATCTTTATTCAAGAGCGTGTTCTTTCAATTTGAGAGCATAATTTATTGATTTCACGTTCAGATTTTGTATTTCTTCAAGTCAAACCCTGTCCTTGCGCTTAGATTTGCTCTGCTTCTGCTCAAACTGTACGCTTGCACTCAGATATATTGGTGCTTGCACATATTTCCTTTTTTAAAACCTTCTCCACGCACTCAGGTTGCTTCTGTGCGCTGACTGCGCTCGTCAAATGTCTGCTCTCAGATTTCTGCTCTGCGCTTAGAAATGTTTTCGGTGCAAAAACCATTTCAAAATCCCTCAACCAATAGGAGGCCAGGTGAAGTGTCGTCTTGCTGGCGTGTTCGCTTTACTTATTAGAGCGTCTCATAAGGGAATCTTTAACCAGGTTTATAAACTCCCTCCACTGCTTTATTAAAGGGTATCTGACTTCACTTGCTTTATTTACGACTTTTTATTTTAATGATACTATTAACGTTAACTTCCTGCAAATGAATTTGGTCGTCATATTTGCGGCACATATATGATAATAACTGGCATTCAAGTGTTGCACATTACGTGAACACTGTTGCTAGGCAACTGAAAACAAAATGAGTTTCTTTTTTTCTTAGTTATTTCATTGTTTAGGAATGGGGAAATATAAAATAAAAATAAAAGTTTCTTTGTGTAATTTTTGTATTTAAGATCGTATGTTGCCCTCACTACATTTTCTTCAGAGAAATGCACAATACATTTTGTAAAATGAACTGTACCTATACTTAGTGAGGGCAACATATGATCTTAAATAAAAAATGACATGAAGAAAAAGGATATTTCCCCATTCCTAAACAATGAAATAACTAAGAACAAAGGAAACACATTTTGTTGTCAGTTCCCTAGCAACAGTGTTCACGTAATGTACAACACTTGAAAGCCAGTTATTATCATAGATGTGCCGCAAATATGACGACCAAATTAATTTGCAGGAAGTTAAAGAGCTTACGAAATGCTTTTAGCACCTGTTAGTGGACTTAGTATATGATAGAGGTTGCATTTGTATTGTGAAATGTGCCATATGATTTTTTTATTATTGATCTATTTTTAATAAATCACGATTATAACAGCATACAAAAGTTGTCAGTTAGTAACAATCGTTCGTTGCGCCGGAAACATCAACTTCGGCCATTTCCGGCGGTGACGTCATGAGTAGAACACAGCTGAGCTCAGTCCCGTTTGAATGCATTGAAGGGCCAAATATTATGACAAAGGATGCACAGCAATATATGTTGTATGGGGATGTGGGGCCGTCTCAACATCTGGTTATGGGATGTTTTTGTGGCCAAAAAATTATCAAATGTTGCGTATATGGACAAAACAAGTGCGTCATATGAGGCGGACTTTTACTGGACCAGGTAACACGGGGTCGATGAAAACGACGATGTGTGGGCAGCACATCGAGAGATCGTGTTTCGAACAATCAACAATGCCCGCTAAGGAGAGAGAGTAAAAGCTTTCTCGAAGGTTCGTTTTGCTTTCTTACAACGTTACGTTAACTTAACCTTACGTTTGCTATGAAGTTATGTTACTTCCCTTAAGAGCTAGCTGTCTTAGCTAACAACAGTTAGCAGCTAACGTTTTCTGCAGTTTGTGTTTCCACTGAAAAACGTGATGTAGTTATTTAAGGGTAAGTTAACTAAACGTTATCTTGCAAGTAGAGAGAGTTAAGTTGTGTTTAAAATCGTCAATGTAATGCACGTTAAAGGTTTTGTGTTGAGCATGAAGTTAGCTTTACTGTAGCTCACCAAAGGTTAGCATGTTAAGCTGTACTTTATGTGGCAGCTCGCTTAATACAAAGAGGGGTTTTGTGCTTCATTGTAAACTTTTCTTACAAATGTGTGTTAATCTACCTGAAATTGTAGGGACAGTTTTTTTCTACTCAACTATACAGACCATTATTGAGGAGATGCAAAACATACTGTAAATGAGTTGGGTCCGACATAAACTTTGAGTAATGTTAGTTTGCTGCTAAAAAAAATGAAACATTATCAGATGAGGACATCACCAAAGTGTGTGAGTCTGTCAGGGGATTTGATCTGTTCTCTGCATGTCGTACAGGGCCTATGTACACACTGCTCTGGTATGAATTAAAAATATAATTGTAAAATGTAAGTCTCTTGCTCTTGTCACCATTCAGGCTTTGCATTTGAACTCCTATGACTGGTTACGGACTTGAAGGGAACGTCTTCCTGACATCCAGGAAAATGGTGAGATTCTAATCCATTTCAATGCCAACAGCAAGTCATTGTTTTTTACTTTTTTAATATGATTTTTTGGGGAATTTCTGTTTTATTGGATAGTAGAAATCTACTGGAACCTAACACCAGAGAGAGGGAGGTGATGATATGCAGCAAAAGGCCCAGCCGGATGGTTGCTGCTCCGTCTGGAACGTGTTCTATCCAGTAAAGCACTTTGGTACCCAGTTATTTATGGTATTGAGTTTGAATTTAGCCTTTGGAAGGTAATTTCCAACAGTGCATTGTAAAGACTGAAAAAACATTTCTTTGTCTCTTAACATTCCTGTAATAATTTGTTTTTTTATTGTTGATATTGTTTTGTTCTTGATTTTTGATGTGAGAATCACTTTGCAATTGTGTAAGTGCTATATAAATAGTTATACTAATATTATTGTTGTTACCATCATTACCATTATTAAAAATGTTTTCTTTATTTATCGCTGCAGAAAGGATCATGCCAGCCCACATCAAACACCTGATCAAGAACTTGTGAATCTTCAGGCAGAAAAGATGAAAACACCTGTTCCAGTTTCCTGTACATGGAACCATGCCAGTCCTCTGTTCCACATGTCTTCAGTCAGTCCTGGGGCCTGTACTACAAAGCAGGATTTTCGCTTAGCCGGCTAACTTCAGGGAAAACTCCGGCTTTCCGGGCTTACGAAGCTGGTTCTCTTTTTAGCGGGCTAGATCTCCATGGTAACTGATGCTGAGCGGCTAGCCTGCTCCGGAGCAGGTTAGGTTGCAGGATAAGAGCTCAACTCAGTGAAAGCACCGCCTGCTGACCAATCAGAGCTCCGTGTGCGGAGTTTAAAGCGATCAAGTCATATTACAGGAGAAAGGAAATGCAGAAAAGCTGCCGTCGCAGGAAAGACGGCCGGCAAAAATCACCGACTGTGTGAACGTGAACATTAATAGAATATCACCTCCATCTTCAGAGCAATCTGACTATTATAACATCAGCATTAAGAAAGCTTACTTAAATATCTGCCACAACATAAGTAACCGGATCAGAGTAACATTAAGTACAGTCCGCGGCATATCACATCATAATGTATCATATATTTCCTTATCTGAGTCAGCTGAGCCGTATCTGGCCGTGCAACACTCACAGTGTCACATACTGTATGCAGAAGTATTATTTTAAGCAACACATTAAGTTGACGAAACACTCGAGTCAAATGTAATTAAAGTCAAATCCACTCGTGTTTTAGACGGGGCAGTGATATCATAAACCTGTTAATGTACTTATTCAAACACTTTTTCTTTTACCAGCTGTATTCACCTTGCAGGTGCAGCTCTGTGGCTTTGATCCTGGATAAAGTGTTCAAGTCATGGATGTTTAAAGTTTAACGTCTTCATATTTGTCTAATATTATAGTTGACTTTTCATTCAGGAAGTATGACGCTGCGCTGTCAGTACGCTTCTCCATGTTTGTGATTGGTCGAATGCTCCAGATACCACCCCTTTCATGTGAACGCGCACCTAACTAGATAGGACACGGCTGGCTTGAGCGATCCACTTGATAACCAGCGTCGTAGGACCGCTTAGCGAGAGCGCGTATGTTTTGGATTAGGCCAACCGGCTAACTCAAACATATCCAGGTTAGGTTGAACCAGCTTCGTAGTACAGGCCTCTGGACCCTATGACTCGGACACTAGTTCTACCAAGGCTTATTAGAGGTAAGAGTGGTAGGAGAGGAGTGGAGTTATCTTTGTATTTAGGCTGCAAGTCGACAAAGGTGATCAGATGCTAATAATGATCCGATTCATTTGATATGGATTGTCTGCCAATACCGAATCCTGATCCGATTATTTTATTTCCCAGATAATACAGCTGCACCGTGTACACTAGCTCTTATTTGTTTTTGCCATTGTAATTCACCATAAGCAATTGTTGACTGTAAAGTCTATGCCAACCAACTGTAATTTGTAATGTATTATACTTTAACGGGTCTGGCAACCACAGCAGCCCAAATGTTAACGTAAATGTCAAGTTTTCTTTTTACAGTGTACTTATATCTGTACATTTATTTTCAGTTTGTGTGAAGAAGTGGCTTCAACAGACAGAAGTGCAGGCCAGATTGGGAAAGGCTGGACGCTACACAACGGGAAACATTATGGACATGAACAAGGAAAAACCAAAAACACTTTCTTTGTTGCCTTTTTCTTATCATATATAGTGTTACGGTTTTTGTTACCATTTAAATATTGAATTCTATGTATTACTTTTATTTTAAATCAAATGCACCGGTTTTAGATAGTATATTTATTTTTGATGTGTAGGTTGATTTGCAGGTTGGTTATTTGTATAATTATTGTATTGTTACTGTGTATTTTATTATAACTAGCTATTTATTAAATTAAAAATACTGTTATGAACACTATACAATGTCTTTATTTTTGGTCGATACCAGAATACATGGCACAATGAATCTTTGTAATATATTTATGTTCTCTTGTTTAAATAATCATACCAGTATTTAATGTGTGCTGGTCACCTGGAATCCTGGTAACCTCCCAGCAGGGTATATTTAATACTATTATTAAACATAAGCTGGTGATAGATGGATAAACCAGCCATCCTGGCCAGCTAAAGTGTCCAAAACCCCTCTAAACCAGCCAACCATTCCAGCCTAATATCTACTGGCTGGTCAATTTACAACAGCCTGCTACATTTATCTAAGCTGGTTTTTTCAGCAGTCATTATTATTTATTTACTATTTTTTGAGAATCTATGAATTATGGTCAAATGTATACCAGTCTCTGTTCTGTTGCCTGGGCCAAGTTTGCCTGCTACATTACGATGTATTATTATTGATTTACTATTTATTGAGAATCTATTAATTAAAGTCAAATGTATACCAGTCTGTGTTCTGTTGCCGCATCGGCTCTCCGCCAAATCCAGGATCATCGTCCCCATGTTCGCTCCCGTCTGTATCTCTACCGCTACTTGAATACTGTGGCTCAAACTGGTATGGTTCCACCACGTTAGACTCACCCGCATGATCTGATTCCACCACACCGGCATCCTCTTCAATAAAATCCTCCTTCTTGAAAGTGCACCGAGTCTATTGACGACTCACTGTCACTCGATTCTGTCTCCAGAGTCCGACATCAGCCATATAGGTAGTGTATTATTCAACAAGTGTTCTACTCGTGACGTGCGTGACGTCACTAACCGGCGAAAGCTGTTTTGTTCGGAGCGGTCGTGTAACATCGGAAGCGAGCATGTGAAGTTGTAATAAACCACAATTTATAAATACAGCGGGCATATTGTCATGAATGACATGATTTCCCATTAATAATAGTATATCTATTATCGTAATAAGAACAGTATTGTCCTTCATTTCGTAAGCTCTTTAAGTTAACGTTAATAGTACCATTAAAATAAAAAGTCGTAAATAAAGCAAGTGAAGAAGGCTACATTTAATAGAGGCATGGAGGGAGTTTATAAACCTGGTTAAAGAGTCCATGTTAAAGCTCAGGCACTTAGGAGGTAGGACCCAATTGCACGACCCGGGAGACAGAGGTAAATTATTGGTAGGGTACTTTATTTTCCAAAATATAGCAAAAAATGGTCAATAACTAATCTCAGGATGAGATGACAAAAATTGAGAACAAAATGATAATCGCTCACGTGGTGAGGAACAAAACTTTTCTAGAGCACAAAAGAGCATAGACCTGACCAAGGCAAAAGACAAGGAGCATAGACCTGACCATGACCATAGAACAAAAAAAAAAACTAACACTGGGAGACAGGGGAATTTAAACACAGGGTAACAAGACACAGGTGGGAACAATCAGGGGCGGGGCTTACACTGATGAGCACAGGAGACACAGAAGGGGTGACAGGTGAAAACAATCAGGAAATTAGACACACCAGGGAAACTAACGACAGACATGAAAACACAGGGGAAAAGACCAGACAATACACAGGGAGGAAAACATGACAAGGAGACAAGCAAAACACCCACTACCAGACACACAAAACTAAAAACGTGACACAACACAAGAATCGTGATAGTCCATTACGGGACCCTCTAATAAGTAAAGTCAACGCGCCAGTAAGACGACACTTCATCCGGCCTCCTATTGGTTGAGGGATTTTGAAATGGTTTTTGCACCGAGAAAATCCAAGCGCTGAGCAGAAATCTGAGAGTAAACATTTGACGAGCGCAGTCAGGGCACAGAAGCAGCCTGAGTGTGAGGAGAAGGTTTTAAACTGGAAAACAGGAAATATGTGCAAGCAGCAATATATCTGAGTGCAAGCGTAGTTTGAGCAGAAGCAGAGCAAATCTAAGCGCAAGGATAGGGTTTGACTGAAAGAAATACAAAATCTGAACGTACAATCAATAAATTATGCTCTCAAATTGAAAGAACACGCTCTTGAATAAAGATATAACCTCCATAATAAAGTAGATTTTAAAAACGTTTTATAGAGTAGAAAACAACATTAAGCTCACTGCGGGACGTTGCAGAAATGTGTGTGTCCACCACGAAAAAGGATCCTCATTCACTTTACATTGGGGTTGTTTCTGTGGTGCCGACACGTGATTTAGTAGATTCCGTGTCCCCACCACATAATGTGGTGTTAAGGAGTTGTGTTCATTTCACTTGTTTGGTGAGACCAGGTTGCTACGGGACGCCCTGCCCGTTGAAAACTGACGCTCGAGGGGTACCCAGTGTGTAATAAGGTGACGTGAAGGGGCACTGACCGATCGTCAATATGTGACGAGTTGGGAGTGAGAATGTGTTGCGACAGCATATTGACAATAGGCGCTTTCACACCAAGTACTTTTTCCAGGAATAGTTCCCAGGAATGGTTCCCGGAACTTAGTTCCCCGGAACTCTTTAATTCCTGAACTATCTAGTAGATCGTGTTCAGACCGGAATAAGTCCCTGAGGGAGGATTACGCAAATGAAGCCGCTGACGTCACTTCTTCTGCTTTGGGTTTACTGGCAGGCCGCAAACAACTTCCCGGCGTATTCTGCCACCCGAAGTCCCGGAGTCCGGGTGGCAGTAAATCGCCACCCAAAGTCCCGGGTAAATCGCCACCCAAAGTCCCGGGTAAATCGCCAAGACCGCAGACACCTCTTCACCACTCCCACGTTTTATTTTGTGTTGCCATAAGTTAGTTTCTCTCTGTTGGTGCGCTGGGCTAATGCTAATAATGCGAGCAAATAAAATGGCGGCTTCAGAAAACTTTTCTGAGTTTTACGTGGCGTGGTTTGTAATTCGCCCAGCCAATCAGCAATTGGAACCTTTTCCTCCCCAGGAAAGTACCACCTCTCTAGCAGGAACTGAAAAGGGGTGAAAAGGTTCCCAAAAAAAAGTTCTAGTTCCAAATCTTTTTGGTGTGAACGCAAAATCCCAGGAACTATTGTTGTGTTCAAAATTCCAGGAAAGACAAACGACTTCTAAGTTCAACTATTTATTAAAAGAGAGCAAAACATATATATTCACTTGGCCAAGGGCTCCGTCCGGTCACTGAAATCACAGGCAGCAGAGCTGTAATCTGTCAGTCTATTTCCGGAAAGAGCCTCAAACCTCATGCGACAATACATTTTTATTACACAGGGCGTTGCCCGTACATGTATGATTGGTCAAGACTAGATGAAGAGATACCGTGGTTTAGACTTGGTTCTCTTTGGTAGGTGCACAGACTCAGATAGAGTCTCTTGGCAACACGATTCT